ATTTTCACCCAAAAATGACTTCAAAAATCTTAAAATAACTTTTTTTCTAGGTAATTCGATGTGCTCTATCGAACCAATACAGAGAAAACAAAAAAAAATAATTGTTGTTGTTTTTGGTTTCCGGCACGTTACTTTTGATGACTTCTTCGACTTGTTCCACTAAAATATTTTTTTTGATGTTCTTACTACTTATATTTGTGGATTTTTCTCATTTAGGTTAGTTCAGCCGTAATCTTCAATTTCTATGTCGAAAAAATTCAACATTCGTGAATATGTTATTGCAATAAAATATTGGTCTCTCTTATTCATTCCTCATTTAGCCATATCTCTTATATTTTTAATTTATACATTTGTTGGTGCTTCTATTATACAAGAAATTGAATCCCAAAAGCATCATTCAGTGACAACCGGTATTGTTTCGCCTGTTGTTGTTGATCAATCATCAAATGTAAAAATAATTGAACGTGAACGTGAAAAATTACTATCGAAATTATTGACAAAACGTCAAGCCGTTGATTTACAAACGTATGCCAATTACATACGTGATCAATTATTAGAATATGAAGAAGAAGTAAAAGAATGTTATCGTTCGACAGCAGGTATTGCTAGACAACAAGAAAATCAGTTAACAGATAAGCAAAAACAGCAATGGTCTTTTACCGGCTCGTTATACTTTATTGGATCAATTTTAACAACAATAGGTATTATTTTTCTCCTCGATTACTTCCTATCCTGTACTGTGAGATAATGTTTTTAGGTTACGGTGATTATGCTCCAGCGTCTAAAGTGGGCAAATTATTTGTAATGATCTATGCGTCATTAGGCATCCCTTTAACACTAGTATTATTAAGTGATTTAAGTATATTGTTAACGCGTTTCATTAAATATTCATCGTCTGTATTCTATCGTTTATATTCAACATCTTACTTTTTGCAAATACGTTCATATCGTTTAATACGTTTTATCGAAGAAAAATTAGGTATCGTCATTATCCTACAGGATGTCGCTAGTATTCAAAATCAACACCATCAACTGACAACGACAACATCTACAGTAGATGAAGACTACTATGATCTAACCGAAGATAGTAGTAGACTTCTCAAACTTCAACCACCTCCACGTCGTAAACGATTATCAATCGCATTACAAACGCTTTGCGGTATTGTTTTTGAATCATTGGATGATGTCAGTGATAATTTTGATTTAACTTTGACACAATTAATTGTTACATTAATTATTTATATATTTTTTGGTGCATGTCTATTTTCGCAACATGAAAATTGGTCGCTGTTTGATAGTTTTTATTTTTGTTATATATCATTATTCACCATCGGTCTCAATCTAAAACCGTATAAACCAGAATTTATGCTCATATCTTCAATTTATATTCTATTTGGTTTAGCATTTGTTTCGCTGTGTATACAAACTGTACAAATAAATATTAAAACAGTATTAGTTACGGCGGGAAACAAAACTTTAAGAGATCTCATTGAATTTTTAAAACAAATGGGTATGATAAGTTGTTTCATGTCATTTGCGTGAGATTTTTCTCTCTAAAAAGTTTGTTTTTTTCGATTTTTAGGTTTTCATGAATTAAGTACAGAGGATCTACTTACTGAAAATTTTGGACGTCGTCTGACAGCAACTATTGAGTCTCCTCTTATATCCCAGCGATATCGACCTAATCAATGTCAAGCACCGTCATTTAGTGAAATTTCACAAGAGAATACTAACACTAACGTTCCGACGGCGTCTGCTATACGTTCGACAGTCGATCCATTACGTCGTTTAAGTACTGGTCTATTAATGCGCGCTTTTAAGTCATTTCCAGGTGATGCAAATAATTTCACAGTTGAAAAAAGTGTTCAAGTCAATACTATCATTCGTTCTTGTGGCCGTTGTTCAGGTGCCAATAATTTTTTTTCAAATACCACATCACTTTCAAACATCAAAAAACATTCACCAGCGACTGTAACAACATCTATTGAAACATCAGCTGATCCCTCACCCATGACTCTTGAAGTACCACCGTCTATGGAAAGATTGAGAAAAAGACGTGCTACGCTTGTTGCTCAAACAATCATTAATCAAATGGCTATACAACAACCAATTTTACAAGTGAAAACAGACGAATCATATAGTGCAACACAATCCAATACAACTGTTCCGAAACCACCGACATCGTTTCGTTATAATGTTACATCGACGACAACAAAGCCATATGACAATGATACTACTAACCATTTAGATGCAAATTACAAGAATGATACATTAACTTCTTCTACGAAGCCTTCTTCGCCACAAATTTCATTTGTTGTCTACCACGATGAATCACCACCTCGTCATATCGAATAAGAAGAAACTTTTAGGAAAATAGTTGAGTTTTCCTCTATTTTATGCAGGAAATTGTTCCAGAAGAGGGATCTTTTTAACCTGACACATTCGAGATATAGCTTTTTCACTACGGTTTAAGAATGAGTTAAGCATTATCTGTAGAAGTCAAAGCGTGATCGAACAAAAAACACCTGTAATCTCATTTTTAACTATTGATAAATATGTTTTAATGATCCAATTAACCTTTTCAAGTCTTACCTCCTTGTGTTGTCTTTCCAAGACATTGCTTCTGCAATGATATACAGTGAAATCATAAGGCGATTTGTCACTGAAACTGAACTATTTTTCAATATTGTGCATATTCCTGCTTATTGTGTCTTTTTAGTTTTAATACACTACCGTGTGATTTCTATTCTGGAATATGGTCTCGTTCTGCTTTATTTTGTATAAAGAATTCTATTTGTTAATAAAATCTTTTTTAATATAACTCTTGTTCTTCGTTGATGATGTTTTTATTGCTACGTTTCTGTCTTTTCGTTGTTTTCTTATTGAATTGTGTATGAATTCATTTTGTTATACTCTATATTTTTTTAAAACTAGAGAGAAATGTCTATATTTTAACTAGAATGAAGTAAAACTAAATGTAGCTCCTCTCAAGGGACTTCGGTAACAATATTGCACAGATCAATTCGATCCGCCCATCTGAACATGTAAACGTTATCATATTTTGTCGAGTATTGAACGAGAAGTACAAGTACGTTCCAGTTTCACATCAGTCATGTTAGAATAGCAAATTGGTCCTATGTTGTGTCTGAGGTTGAATTAAATAAGAAGTTAACTGAAAGATGTTTTGACTATGGAAAATCACTTTTTACTGAATTGCAGAATGAAATCTCAATCGTACTAAAGTTGCATTCTCAGTAATCAATAACGCAAATCGTGGAAGGGACATTTGGTGTTTCCAGAGCTTTTGTAAAATACCAGGATCTTCAGATAATAGTTCCGACTTGATGAAATCGTTGAAGATCTCACACAACTTTGATTTTTTTTGTCGCATAGAAACTATTCAATTTCAATTCAATTTCTATTTGATCAAAGATCATGAACGCATACAGTAACGTAATGTTTTTAACAAAGATAGTTCAAGGTAACAAGTGCCTTGCGATATGTCCATTAGTAAGAAAAAAAGATAAAAAAATCCCCAAAAAACAGATAAATAGAGAATACAAGAAATTAACAATAATATCAAATAGATAACTCAGATGTAGAAACAATAATTAACGAGAGAATAGGACCAGTAGTAACAGCAGAAACAACAATACAGTTAAAAATTGAGAAACATCGCTAATCGTTTTTAAATATACGCATATTAACACATGATGTTAGGTCGTTTGGAAGAAGGTTATAGTCTTTTGGAGTATTCTAGAAGAATAACGATTGAACCACAGTATATGGAGTAAAGGGTACATGTGGTTGGGTTAGTAGATCGAATTGAATAATTCGGCACATAAGGAGTAATAAATGATAATGATATCAATAGAGATAGATTTTTACGAACAGAATGAAAGCTGCACAACCGAAAATACTTCCTACGAATACGTAGATTAGGAAGACAGAGTAGAAAAACAAGATTTTCGCTGTCGATAGGATAATCAAAATTTTTTGTAATAATCCTCGCTGCTAAACATTGAACAGAATCGAGAGGCGCAGTGTGAGTTGAAAAATTAAAATGAATACTGCGCAAGCATAATCCACCTTCGGCAAAACACAACATTTATAAAGCAAGAGACGAATTCTAGATGGTGAGCTTGGAAATATATAATTTATCGTGCCTAACATTCGTCTGCAAGCAAGAGCTGTTTCTTCAATATGATTCACCCACTTAGAGAATTTTAATCCCAACAGTTTAGGAGTAGAGCCTAGTAAAAGTGATGTACCGGACAGTGGAAGAGACAGATTCCTAACTGGGCTCTTTACAAGAGAAAAATATGCGTATGAACATTTGTAGATATTTGGCGCCATGCGATTGTCTAAACGCTAACAACAGTCGAAATAATCGAATCAATTTTGACACATTGAGTTCGGTTACTTAAATATGATGTAGACCAATTTAAGAGCCTATCTTTTATACGATAAAATTCAATTTTTTGACCAGGATAATATGGAAGCCCCTATCGAAGGCTTGTTGAAGCTCACTGATACACAATGTCCGCGATTGTTAAGATTGTCGTACATGAAATGACAGACACTTAGTAGTGCATATATCGTAGAACCAGATGGCCTAAAGTCAAATTGTTGCTTACATAGAAGATCGTTCGAGAGACGGAACAAGAGAACACACTTTTATGGACAATCGTTTCAACGATCTTGCTTCTAACACATAATAATGAAATGGGTCGATAGATGAGGATAGACGCAACATCTCTTTTGTGTACTCGCCGCACTATTGCGACTTTGCACTATTCTGGAAAGTTTCTCGAGTCGAGTGATAATTAAAAAATGTGTAAAAGGGACTGAAAAATTACTGGTTTACAGATTTTTAACGTTTTTAATGAAAAACTATCTCTGTCTAAGCTAAGTTTATTTTTCATATTGGAAAAAGCATCTTCGATGTCGCTTGGTCTTATTCATAGAAGATAAAGCATTAGAAGAAGAGGAAGGAGTGCCGATTTGAGCTGTAGAACTCGTTGAATTAAAAGAAAAACCCGAAGCGAAATACTCTGCAGATTCCTCTTAAGATGTAGAAGTGTGATTGTTCTTATCTGTGAAAAATTTAGGTATATGACCGTCGTTTTTACGAAATTTTTTTAGGGAAGCTCCAACACTAGATGGATCAGAAAAAGTTGAAGAAATTTTGCTGAATCAGTTACATTCGGAGATTTCAGACGTGAAGAACAAAGAACGCAGTCAAGACAAGAGTTGTCAGTTGTTGTTGGACGCTTAGAGTCACAACCGAGAGAAAAAATATTACAGATTGATAGTAAAGCATTATACACAATAACGTCCGATGAATCAGCATTTAAATCCCCAGCTATAGACAAAAGAAGGTAGATTTAACAATAAAAATGTTTCCAGTTGTGAAAAATATTTTGAAACATGTTCAGCAGAGTTAGATGGAGGTCTATATGTGTTAAAAATGTAAAAAATTTTGTTATTTACAGTTACCGATATCAAAATAGACTCGGTTGCACTGTCAGAACAAACGAGTCGGAGAAGAAAATATTTGATACGTAAAGTAAAACACCTCCACCTTGTCTATCTCTATCTCTTCGATACATACAATAATTATTTAGTTGGATCTCATTATCCTGTACATCATTAATCTGAGCGGAACGAGAGCAGTTTTATCAATCAGGGATATTCAATGCCTGTTCAGCCCTGATCGAGAATAATAAATTGAATAAATGAATTATGCAACTCAGCTAGGAGTTAACCAGGGGTCATACAACTTTCACATCTTGCGTAGTTTGATTAGATAAATGATATCGCAGAGACATCCATGAAAATAAGAGTCTGGTGTGCTGATGGTTAACGTGGTCTATAGAAAACCTGTTGAAATAGAATCAGACCTTTAAAAAACTCAAAACGGAATGGAAAAATATTAGATTAGAGCGTTTTATGGATGGGCTTTTCATATGAGACAGAAAATAACAAAATCAATGTTGTCGGTGGTCAGCATGATCGGAGTTTTCATGGAACTAACTCTTAGTGCTTCATCGAAAACTTAAATGTGTCGACGTCTTCGTGTTGACTTAAGTCTGTTTTCACTTCATAGAATATGATTCTAAGTTGAGTATTGACTTAAGACCAAAGTTGTCTTGAGTCAATGCTGAAAACAACACATCAAAACAAACTAAAGGCTGACTAATTCTCTTAGAAATATTGATTAAAGATATCGCACGCCCTGTAATCTTTCACGAAAAGTGTGATCACTAAAGACTGATCTATAGAAAACGTCTAAAACTCAATCACTGTGCGAATAACTATGGTCAGACAGAAAGCAAAAAATAGATAAATAAATACATAAAATAGAAATAAAAAAATTAGAGTGATAGTATAAGAAAATAAAGGAAACAGTTATTATTTTTTCTATTTTAGTATTTAAAAGAGCTTTCTCTACGTCCTTTATAGTAAAATTTTTAGCCATGTCTCTAGTCGTGTTAGTTCTTGATTAGTAGTATATTCCAGCCAGTGACAGCTCTATAAATAAACGCGTACTATTATTGGCTGTTATGAGATTTAACTGATTTTGATTGTTTCTCTCTTTGGTCATATTGAGTCGTCTTCTCTTTTTCATCATTATTCACTCTCTAGAAGCATTGAATTCTCCTAAAGCGTAAAAACTAAATGGCTGTTTACTATTTTACTATCTGAAATGCCTAACCGGACAATTGGAGCAAAGCATTCATACAAGTGTCATCGGAAGGAGAAAGATTAGAAGCTACAGACAATTAAAAAAGGCCTAGTACAAAAATATTCAAAACAGCGAACAGTTTTTTTCTACTATTCTTGTTCTGTCAGTGAATCAACTATTAAATCGGATCCTAGCACTAATAAACCGTTCATACTATAACGGCTCCCTTGTGGCAAGGTTACTTTTTTGTTTTTCGTGTGATTCCATGGCAGAGTCAGCAAAATTTAGTTTTGCTAAATGTTAGAAGACAATTTTTGACATTTTTTTCTGCGCTTATCAAAAAATAAATGACAATTATTCCATCTGAATCCATTCATTAACAGAAGAAAACAACATTATTCGACATATATACTAGCAATGTATTCTGCCATTAGTTCCTACAACTCCTGGAAACTACCGCTATAACTATGCTTCAGTCGACGACAGTCGAAAAATAAAAATATAATTCCAAAGTGATATTAGTACAGAACCACGTAATATTACATAATCTTTGACGAGCCCTCCTGTAACCCGTATAACCTTTCGTGGTCATCTCTCAACACTTATCAAAAAGTGATTTTATTTTATCCGCAATAAACAACATTTTCTCACGAGTTAAATCTTCCAAGGGCGACATCTTTGATATTATACAGAAGATTGTAAAATAATTCACGATAACCCACCAAATTACGTCATTTTTGATAAATATTTTTGTTTCTTTTTCTAAACGTGCGTTGTCAAAAAACAAATTTCCCTTTGCTCATCGTGCTTTCTTGTACGGGCGGAAATTACGCAATTTAAAAGATGGAGTCTTTCGTAGAAAAAAAATGAATTATTATTATAAAAAAATAAATGATAATTAAAATGTCAACAGAAGCACAAGTATAGTTCCTATTGAATAGGTATGCAAAAAGGAATGTGCTTTTCTGACGGCTGTCTCTGACTTAGTCATATATTTTTTATATAGATTCTCGCTAGACGATTGTAAAATCCAAAATTGACGATAGTCTCATGACCTTATTTAAAAAAATGCCGTTTAGATAACATTTATATCTGCCGTAAAAAGATATTTTATTCAACTGAAATTTATCTTGCAAATATATCTTCGATTAATTGCGTAATGGTTGCTTAAAATCATTCCTAAAAATATACTATAATCTTTTGTCATACAGAAGATGCTTTACGTACCCATTTATTCTAGGCTCTCTTTGCTAAGAGAGATAAATGATTATTTATGGGGTGAGTAAGTAACAGGGAAAAGAAAGATAGAAACCGGTGTAGGATGCTGACATGTGTCAGCTACGATATCCCGATTTCTTCTCTACAGATGACGGGCGTCTGACATGGTCATACGCACCGTTACTGGTCATCAGCTACAGCCCTGGTCAGAAGGGTGGTAGTTAGTTGAACTTGCTCTGGTTCCTCATTCACACTGAGTGACCGCGAACTGGTTTTTTGGAGAGCCACAAAGACTAATCGGTGAAATTATACTGTACATCACAACGCAGTGAGTATGCTATCAAACGGATGATCCTAGGCCCTCTGTGCTAAGAGAGATAAATGTTTATTTATGGGGTGAGTAAGCAGCAGGGAAAGTTACGATAAGTTATTAATCTGTTCAATTTATCTCCTGCAATGACATGCTGATTTGTTTTAATACACATTTTTTAATATCCATTGTTTCTTGGTACACTTTTAAACGTTTGCGTTCTCATTTTTTCCCTTACAAAGGGACAGACGACATTTCTGCTGTGTTTATATTCTTATTTGATTTGTAGATAAAACTTTTCTCATACCTTCACTTTTGAAAATAGTTCAACATGGTATTTATGAAACCGGAAAGTGCTCTGAAACGAGCTGATGGTAAGTTCCCGTTCATTTCGCTTCTAACGCTCTTTTCAGCTTATCTCATACTGTTTTATATCTCGTATAGAATTCATTGAAGTCGGTAAAAAGCAACGTGCACTCGAATCTCTATTAGAAGTTGTTAAATCACGACGACATCGTACATGGACAAAAACGCACGAACCGTTGATGGAAAAGTTACTTGAATTATGTGTGGAATTACGTAAAAGTCAAGTGGCAAAAGATGGCTTACATCAATATAAAACAATATCACAGGCGGTAAGCGGTTTATCTTTTTTGCTATGACGATGTTTGTGTGACGTATGTTTTTATGTTATCTCGTTTAGGTTTCTGTCAAGTCGCTAGAAGATGTTATAATGAAATTTTTGCGAAACGGTGAACAAAGATGTATGAATGCAAGACAAGCTGCACAAAGTGCTGTTGTTGATATCGATGATTTGGAAGTATTACAAACACCAGAAAGGTAATATATGGAAATTAATATTTGTCAGTCGAATTATTGCAGCGAACTCTTGTATCTAGTTGTCAAATATGCCACAACTGGTACTTCAATAGAATTTAATCATATCTTGCTTTTTTAGTTTATTATTAAGTGCTGTTTGCGGTGAATCACAACAAGATCGTGCTGATCGTGATCTTTTAGCACCATGGTTAAAATTTGTTTGGGAATCTTATAAACAATGTTTAGATTTACTAAAAAATAATAATCGTGTTGAAAAAATTTATCAGGATGTTGCGCAAATGGGTTTTAAATTTTGTCAATTATATAATCGTCGACCAGAATTTCGTAAACTATGTGATACTATTCGTACACACTTTGTACAATCACAAAAATATTCACAACAAATGTACAGTGTCAATTTTCAATTACCGGAAACGCAAACATTACATCTGGAAACACGTTTGGTACAATTAGATACAGCAATTGCCATGGAGCTGTGGCAAGTAAGTTGCTTCAATTACTGCCACTAACTGTCTACTTAAGGATATTTGTCGTTCAAATTTAAGGGATTATCTCTTGCTTTTCTCGTTCTAGGAAGCATTCAAAGCTGTTGAAGATATTCATAGTTTAACAACAATATCTAAGAAGACACCTAAACCACAGCAATTAGCTATGTATTACAATAAAGTTGCTCTTGTTTTTTGGAAAGCTGGTAATTATGTATTTCATGCCACTACGGTATTAAAACTCTATGTACTACACAAAGAACAGAAGAAAAATATCACAACAGCTGAATTAACAAAACTGTCAACAAAAGCTCTGCTATCTATACTTTCTATACCGTTGCCAACACCACGCACACAAATTGATGAACATTTGGAAACTGAAGACACGTTAAATGAAAAACAAAAACGTTTAACCGGTTTGTTGACACTACAAACGATACCGACACGTGCAAGTCTCATTAAGGATATGATTAAAAATGGTATTTTGCAATTTGTTTATCCCGAATTAAAGGATTTATATGAATGGTTAGAAGTTGAATTTCATCCATTACGTTTAAGTTCAAAGGTTGAAAAATGTATTGAGTTTGTTGAAAAATTAAATCAACCAGAATATTCCCAGTATATGCCAGCACTGAGAGATGTAACAGTTGTCAGATTATTACAACAGGTAGTACAAAATTCAGAATGATAAGAAATATAAAAGTATAAGACAAGCTGTTTTTAGGTATCGCAAGTTTATCAGACAATCGAATTAAAACGTTTTATATCATTAGCACCACCAATTGATAAATTCCGTTTAGAAAAAATTATTGTCGACTCAGCACGTAATAATGATGTTCAAGTTCGCATTAATCATAAATTACAATCCTTATCATTTGGTACGGATTTGACTGCATCAACAACGTCATCGTCATCACTCCGTGGTCATCAACAGCAACAATTGGATTTGGCTCAGGTTGAATCTGGTCCAAATGTACAAAAAATGCCAAATGAGCAGATTCGAAATCAGTTGATAGCTATTTCACGTGCTTTACATTGGGCAAAGGAATTAGTGGATGAGAAAGCAAGTAAAGAAAAACGTGATAAGCTACGACGTGAAATAGCTCAAACATATTATCGTGATGAACAAGAACTACGAAAAGAAATATTGAAACGGCGAGAATTAATTGAACGATTTAAAGAAACAAAAGAGAAAACAAATCAAGATAGAGTATGTATTATGTTTAGTAGCTATCTATCTCATACACATACAATTGCATATGATTTGTGAACTTGTTATATTACCTAACAATTACCGTTGTTGCAAGACAACTTTAATCACATATTCATAAATCTTATCTAGAGGATTGTGGGAACACGTTTAGACAGTTGTGTTTTTATTTAGATAAGATTAGCTGACGATGCGCGTAAACGTGCAATGGTGCAAGCTGTTTTGGATGATAAACATCGAACAGCAGTGGAATTGAAAGCTATCAAAGATAAAGAAGATGAGGAACTCAAAGATAAACAGCATCGTCAGTTGATGAAAATGGCTATTGATAAATTACGTGACAGTGAAATCGGACGTAAAATAATTAAATTATTAACGGAAGCAGAATTATATAAATATGATCCGGCGTCGTTGAATGCCCTACATATTGAGCATGTCATTAAAGATAGTCGTGAACAAAAAGAAAAATTAAAACAACAACATCGCAAAGTTGATTATTTTGTACGTGCATGCCATGAAGAAGAGGTGAAATTATTGAGTATAAAAAGTGAAGATGATATTACAGTGAGACGTGATATATTTAATCGTGAACGAGAAAAGGCACATGAACGACGTAAACGTTTGACACGAATGGATGAGGACAAAAATGAGTTTTTATCGTCCATTAAAGATCGTCGACATGATGATTACTTATCCCAAATGAAAGCGTTTCATCAACGTTTACAAAGAGCAAAAGAGATAAAACTAGAAGAGTTGAGAAAAGAAAATAAGGAAAAAAAACAACAAGATTGGATTAAACGTAAAGAACTGGATGAGGAGCGAAAACAACGCGAAAAACAACAACAAAGTAAGAGCTATAAGATATCGTGATCGACCTTGTTCTTGAGCAAAAGCTAATAGTTCCGACAGTGTCAGATGATGAAGAGTATTGGAACGAGCAAAGAATGGAGTTAGTTGCAAATTTTTGTGTTTCGTACGATATGATTTTTTGTTTTAGTTCAAGAAGACAAAGAACGTATAGAGCGTGACCGGCGTGAAAAAGAACGGTTATTGGAAAGTGATAGGCGAAAACAATTAGATTCTATCGCTCTTAAACAACGAGAGAAAGAGGAAGCTATTGAGAGAAAACTGAAAAAACAGGAACAATCATTACGCGAAGAAAGAAATGAGGTAACAAGAGATAGTGGCGGTGGTAGTGTGGCCAGTCAACCATGGCGACCAACTAGAATACGACCAGCTGAACAGCCCGGCACCGAAAAACAACAACCCCCTGCAGATAATACGGATTCTGGTGGTCCACGTAAAGATGGAGCGGGTAATTGGCGTACACGTGAAATTAAGCGCATGGATAGGTATCTATCTATCACAAAAAGTTTGCGTGTTTGTGGTTATTTTTTTCGTTTTGTTGTAGTTGGCGACATAGTGAAAGTGGTAGTAATAACGAGGAAAATGAATATCGGGATGTAAAACCAGAGGATGATGTTGATGAACGTACTCCACCGCTATCTAAAATCCGTGAACATAGAGATGATCCTCCAAGTCGAAGCTATAGACAGCAGAGACCAAATGCTCCAAGATCAGATGTGTCGCCACCATCATCTCATTATCAAGATTCATCATCCCGATCGAATTACAGGGCACCGCAGCGTCCAGGTGACGGAAGTCCACCCCGTCAGCATCAGGGTAGTGGCGGCACAAGATCATTTGGTGGTGATAACTATCGTCGCACTGGTGAACAACAGGAATTCAGTGGCAGAAGAACCGATAATCGAAGAGCCGAAGCTGATACGAAATGGGGACGAGATCAACCGCCGCAGCAACCTCGACCACAATATCATGATGAACATGATGATCGTGATCGTGACCGCGATCGCGATCGTTTTTCTTCAAACAGGAGAGGTGGAGGTAGGATAAATTACTGTAAAAGGTCAGCTTTTGAACGAAATAAAATAAAAACGTGAAAATGCATGTTTAATGACAATGAAGATACTTACTGTTAGGGTTTACTCATATGATGGCTAATTCAATAGGTCAAGTTTTTTATATGTTCTCATTTTAGGTGGTGGGTTTAGTAATCGTGATAATTTTGGCCGCGATAACAGAGACAATAACCGAGATCATCCAGTTCGAGGCGACAATAGTAGAGATTTTAATCGAGATACAAGACCATACAGTCATCATGATGATCAGCGAGAGAATCGTGGGCCACCACAAAGTAGAAATATGGGTAGTGGTTCAGGAAGATCAGAAATAGAATCAAGTAATTGGAGAGCGAAAGCAGCACCCGCAACCACACCACCAAAGTAAGTGAAATTGGTCGCTTCTCAGTTAGCCACAATAAAAAAAACTACGTTGTTCTTTTAGACGAGACGCGAATAAACGCAATGACGAACCAAGAGAATCTGGTCGAGGAGGTTAGTAATTCTTATCAATAAGGATATGAATGGTGTTACGAAACTTGGCTGCCTTTTTCAGTAGTATGGTCTAAACAATGGATGAGAATTTATTTCATTCCAACATACGTACGAAATTTCTAGAACTCAGAATGACTAAATTCTCTTCTTAGAACATGAATGATCTTTTAAGAAATAGAAATATTCGTATCGTGGAATGGGTACATTTTCTTCTTATTGCTTGCTAAGCCACGCTCTCAAAATTATACAAAACTTTTTATCATATTCTTTTATCATATCAGCGTTTATAATTGAATTTTGTCTGTTTTAGAAGTAGAAGAAGACGGATGGAACGTGGTTGCACGAAAAAAATGAAATCAAAAATATTTCTTGGCAACGTTAATTGTTATATGACACGTGCATTGGTTTTGGGGATGGGCGTATTTTTACTATATTCTATTCTAGTTTTATGTATGAATGTTTTCCTTTCTCTTCATGTGTATGCAGCCGTTCGTTCGTACATCCTTTTTAGCATGCCACTTTTCCTCTCCTACCCTCTTATATGTCTACATCGTTAACTAAGTCTATTTTCGTTCTTAAAGACAATTTTTTGCTCTTGTTTTTTGTTTCGTTATTGATTCTTTACACACAAAAATAAATTCTTCAACGAAAAAAACTTACGGAAGATTATTGATGTTGAATGAGATAACATGATCGAAGTTGAGAAATGAATTAAGTTGCATTAGTTCAACTTTTGATAACGGAAAATACTTTTATAATCGAAGCAGATTATATGCTTGTTATTGACTGTGGATTAGGAAGAGGATCATATGTTGTACTATACCAAAGTAGACAGCTCTCAACTGCTCGTTTATAAGAGCACATACGGTTTACTTTGTATATTTTTAAAAAAATCTTAACGCTCCTTCACAAACTAGTCTATAAAATTGTGATATAAAAATAGACAATTTAAACACGAAACTTGTTGTGTATTCGAACATTGCAGATGTCATTAACTTGTTTAATTCGAAAATCGTTATCGATTCAACTTCTGACAAAACGATTTGGTTCAACGATTAATCTTAAAACAACGACTAAAACTAGTGATGACGATTCTCAAGAAGGCTTGAATTCATCTTCTAAAACGAAAGTTAAATTCGATATGAAAATGCGACAAAAAATTGAACGTTCATCATTCTTATCATTTTTAACTGAAGATCTTGTTTGTAAAGTAGAAAAAACGGTTGAATTAGCCGATAGAATTCAAGAAGTAAATGTCGATAATTTTGAACCATTATTTACATTAATGGAAAACGAACCGTGTCCATTAAGAGCAGATAATGTAAATAATGAGAAAACATTAAGTGTCAAACAAGTACAGATGAATGCATCAGTGGTATACGAAGATTATCTAGTTGCACCAATGATCGGTATACGAGAGTCACAAACTGTAGAAAAATTAAATGAATCTCAGTTGTAAAATTTCTTGTTTTTTTGATATTAAGTAAATATGCGAAATAAGCAAAATAGCCAATGTTCTTTCATTACTTGCGCACGTAATTAAAGTTTGTTGACTTCTTATTTTTCAAGAATATAATCTTTCTCTGGAACCTTTCTAGAATGTAGATGTGAGCTGAAGGGTACCAGATTAGATAGAAAAGTTTGAATTAAAGATTTATATATATATATGAATATGTCAGTCTGATATCTTCATACATACGTTAGTGTTTCTTTGCAATATCTTCTTTCTCTAAATAATACCATTTATCATCAGTAATGAATTAACCTCTGATCAGTACAACATCTGCTTACAAAAAAAATACCGAGACTTAAGATTTTAGCTTATACAGTTTCAAAAAATTATGGTAGCAAAGCTTATATCATTATGTCATATATCAGTGGAATATCTGGTAGAAAAATCTATATCTAGTCTGCAAAAAAATTTAAAACTTAAAATAAAATTTCACCAAAAGGTGGCGGAATATGGGAGCTCTATGTTAAACGTCGAATAAAGCATAAGGGGTAAAATGAGGGAGAAAAATCTCATTTTAAGTGTGTCCACTAAAATATGAAAGTCATTTTAAGTATATAAGTGGCAGCCAAGTGACTGAGAGAAGTGTGAAGGTGCTGCAAAAAATTTTTAAAAAATGACTTAAGTCAAGTCATCGTTGACTCGACTTGACTTGTGACTTGGTCTGAAAAATGAAGCCAAGTCATGAACTAAGAAAATCAGGTTTTTGTGGCGAATATTAGGGTAAAATTCATGATTAGGTCGGGAATTTTAATCTGGTATTAGATAAAAGTGCTCGACTTTGGTCATTTTCCAAAAGCAATTATGAAGACAAAATCGCTGAAAAATCCATTTCTTAATTACAACACAGTAGGCGAGCACTCACGATTCCATCAGTCGTGCCTCAGAGTTGAGAAAGGAGCGAAGTCTGCTAAACTTTGAGCATTTTTCTACGAAAAAAAAATTTCAAGTCATGACTTGGAAATACCCGAGACTTGACCTGGCCTGAGAATATTCTTGTTGACTTGTGACTTGCTCAGCTCTGACGGAAACTAAAAGATTTTTCTACACTAGACTATCGCTTATCGGGTGATGCTTACAAAAACGTTTTGCCACTTAAATATCAATATTCTAAAAAAAGATTTTGCATATTTTCCCTAAAAAAAAAATTCCAGTGCGCACCGGTACGCGTGGCATGCCATCGATCATTGGCACTGGCCGACACCCGTTTCCCGCAAGTGCCGATATATGTATGCCAAAAAGTGCTGTTTTTAAACTTATTTAGCCAGTTTTTTATTATAGCTTTTAATTTTGCATTAATTAAAGTACAGCATTGATATATACCGGTACTACACAGGCATGCCGTAACTGTGCCGCACTGCCTCAGCACTTCTCTTATGAGAGTGAAGAAATTAAGACATTCGAAACATTACAAGTATACTATGGTGTTTATATAGACGGACGTCGACAAAACAATAATTAATTGAAAAAAAATTGGCACTGGTGCGCCGGGTGCCGATAAAGTAAGAAAATTTATGATATATCGGCACTTTTTCGGCACCGGTGCGCACCTCTGCCAAAGAAAAAGCATCAATCCGCACTGATGCATACTAGTGCCGAATAAGTGCCAGTAAACATTATTTTTGCAGGATTGTATTGGCAATTGACTTTTCATATTAAAATAAATCTTTTTCAAAAATTTCAAATGCAAACCATAATGGACTGACTGATGAATAATGAAAAGATTCACAATACTTTTTCGACATAAAGATAGAATCTTATTTGATATATTGCTCCTACTCATGATCATTCAGTTGACAGCACATGTTAAAATGCAAAACTATAAAAAAATGTTCAGTTTTTAGAGAAGAGTCATGCATGATATACTTCTTTGAAAATATCGATACTGGATTTATGCTGAATGCTGTTTAAACTGCTCAGAGGCACACCTATAGATTAGTGTGGGGAGTAAGAAATGAACTTGATCTTCTATGGTCGATAAATTGGCTTGAATAGCGAAATTATAATATACATCCGATCTAAAAACACAAGAGGTATTGGTCTTCTTTATGTTTTTTTAAGATAAAAAAATATGTTATTAGACGAAAAACAGCAAGAAATAGAATTATCGTTTGTTGAACGTATTTATCAAACCTTTATCAATGTACGCAAACGTCTAATTTCATTATCAGTTTTATTTAAAGAAAATGAAAAAGTTTATTGTAATGATTCAGATTCGGACGAAGAAATGTTTATGGGACCATTTCCATCAGATAAAGAAGAAATTGAAAAATGTTTAATAGATGTCGATCGAATTCTGGAACATTTAGCGAGTACAAAAGATTTGCAAGAACAATTTCCTTCGTTTCCATTATGTAAAGATGGTTGGACAATAAGGCGTTTTGTAGACGTAGCAAATTTTGATCCAACGAAACGGCGTAAAACAGTGCTAAATTGGATAAAACTACAAACACTTACGGCGTGTGAAGATGCTCAGAAGAATAAATATTCATTGCGAAGAAATTCATATTCAACTCGACAAACGGTAAGCTACATCATAAGCGTAACAACACATTTTATTGGATAAATTTTAAATGATTCTAACTGTTTGCTAAGATTATGTGTCTTAATTGATTCATTTAGATTGAGAAAGAACTGCTATTTGATCATGAACATGTGAATGGTATTAATTTTTTAAGTATTTCATCAGTCCCAACAGCAACAATAACAACAACAGACGAAATTACGCTATCACCAACTAATAACGTTTATGATTTAAATCTCCTAGATTTACCAAATGAAATTCTCATTCACATATTTTCTTATTTGACACCGTGTGAATTAGTACCACAATGTGCTTTAATTTGTCGAAAATTCTACACTATTATTCTCGATCATTTATGGACTAAATTAGAATTAAGAAATTTAATATCTGTTTATGATGTTGCTTGTCTGTTACAGTCTGTACCATTGTTAAAATCTTTAACATTTGTTGAATGGAATGAATTAAGTCCCATTACATGGTGTATTTGGCTTCATAGTATGAACGCTCAAATTCGTTCTATACGTTTTCAATCAACAACATTAAATCCAATATGTGTTGCATTACTCGTTGAACTATTACCAAATTTTGATACAATTATATTTGATTATCAAAATAAAGCATTTGATAAGTTCGATCTTCTCTTAACATTACTTGCCGATAAATCATCGTTAAAACGAATAACAGCATCATATCAATTGGGTATCTCAAATTTTGGTATCTTACAATTAGTAACAAAATTACCAATATTAATTGAATTAAATTTACTCTATGTTGAAGCGATTAATGATGAGTAAGTGTTTATAAAACAAAAAAAAACAAAATTAGAAAATAAATGATAAATTTTTTGTTTAATAATAGAACTGTACGTATCTTATGTGAAAAGCACAAAGATCATTTACAAATATTAAAAATTGATGGTGCTCAATTAACGGATAAATCGTTGATTTACATTGGAAAATGTAAATTATTAAAAGCATTAATGATCGAATTTTGTAGTGGAATGAACGGTGAATATTTTTCTGTTATTGGAGTAAGTTAATAATTATGTATCGAAGTTATATAAATATTCAGTTGAATAAATAATTTCTTCATTAGACTACTGGTATTCATGAAGCGATGTTCTAGTGCCCAACAGTTGAGTGAACGATTTTTAATGTGTCTATATAAATCTATTCAATTTTTGAATAGATTTTGTACTTCTCGTGAGACGGGAGAGATCAGAGTCATGAAAGTGGATGAAAAGAATAGAATTCAAAAAAAAGCTGAAAATCTAGGAGATGAAATAGAGTTCAACTACAAAAAAATACAAGAAAGTCATTATGAAGAACTTTTCGACTACAGTTAAAGGAAGCGAACGTGTTGAAAAAAGTTCAACATCGCGATAAAATGTATATAATTGATCGGTTAAATGTCGGGTCATTCAAACGTCAGTTAATGATCTGAATTATAACAAAACATTTTGTTTATTTTTAGGATCTTTCTCAATTAGAAGAACTTTGTTTATCAAAGTTAACACTTATTCCCCTTCAAGCGTACGAATCAATATTTTTTGATCACTTCTTTCCTCATATGAGTGTATTAAAACTAGGCGAATGTCAATGTATAAATGATGCTTGTGTCGAATTAATTGTAAAAGCGTAAGTATGAAACACAATATTTTCTTTACAATTTTCTATTACTTTTTTATTAATGTTATTTTTAGATGTCCAAACTTGAAAGATTTAACATTAGCATGGTCACCCGATATTACAGACATTGGATTTGAAACAATATGTATTGGATGCAAAAAATTAACGAAATTATCTGTACTTGGATGTTTTCGAATTGTTGGTACGTGTTTGAATGATGTACCAGACAAATATTTAAAATATATCAAACATCTTAATTTTGAACAATGTAATCATACGAGTGATGAATTATTAACTGATTTATATAAACGTAAAAATGATTTATTTATTATTAATTATTATGGAACGTGTGTTGAAACTGATGAAAATTAACAAGACAATTGAATAAATTAGAATTAGATATGCTGCGCTCTCTCTTTTTCTCCCTTTTTTTTTTGCTAATATATGTTGAGTTTTTATATGAATTTATTTTGTTTTTTGTATATTTATTTCAACAACAGATCTAAAGCATTTAAAAACAATGATAAGTCTGTAATATGCTCTGTGAGTTTATTGGTTTTGACTATCAATAGTACATGATACAAACAGTTACCAGAATATGCCAATATGCTATTATCTATCTCGGTCATATGTTGACATTCATGTCTGTACAAGTTTCGAATGTTTTAGTTCTGATCGTTCGATGAAATTTTAAATAATTATAAAAAAAACACATCTTAAGTGAAGTGAAACGAAAGCGCAATTAACTTGCCTTTCATCTTTTATTGTTAATTTCTACACTTTTTTTAAAATTTGTAATAAAAAAAAAATACTTGTCCACACAGAGAAACTCACTAAAAAGAAATTTAGCTTTAAACTAGTTTACTAAAAAGATATTGTACAAAAAAACATTTTATTTTCTTGCATCTCTCTTAAACGTAAAAACCTGTTCACTAAAATACAAACGAGAGAATAAAAGTCCCACCAATTAAGGACCAAAACACGAAAAACGCTTCTTGATTCTCTAAAAATCCTCAATTTGACAAAAAGAGATAATTGAAAAATCGGCGCCGGTCAAGGCCATTGACATCGCCGGTCATTGAGCCCATGTATCTAGGTGTCTAGTTTAAAATAAAACAAACCCGAACTCTCTAGCTTGAAGTATATTAAAAAATCTTGGGAAATACTTCAGATGTAACTCACATGTGGAGAAAACGCTGTATAAAATGCTCAATTTTAGGGCTTTTAGGAAAATGCCTGTAACTTTTTAATGCAAGGTTATACAGAGTTGTGTGATGTCTTATTTTGATTAGAAAAGTTTGCTCTACAATCTACATGTTGAGAAAAACTGTAATTGCATAAGTATTCAAGAAAAAACTATTGTTTGAAGATCCAGTCTTTCGGAGCGCCTAGAAAATTTGATCGAAAGCCGCGAAAAATCATTTCTGTAACCGAAAGCGATATAGATTCTGAAAGTAGGCACTTCGGGCTATCTTTCCATGTCCTTATCCCACAATGGATTTTTTGTCCGAGGTTCGTTGTTTCTGAGGGGGACGGGCCTTAAATTGTTTTCTTTTGTCGTGTGGCATAAGTTTGTCACTTATCAAATTTTGTTAAAATATAATTCTGGATTCAAACCTGCTTCTATATTTTCAAACTTTGTTACAATCAAAAAAACAAGAAAGTCCTATCCGTTTATAAATACAGTACATTCTGTTGGTGTTTGAGTAACATTCGCTGAAAAGGAGACAGAGACCTGTAGTTTTTAAATATCTTATAGAAGAGATATGTATGGAAAGAAAAAGATCTCAAACACTAACTACCGATGTTGTATCGAATCGGTCTCAGGAAATGTAAGTTGATGATCCATGAAGAACTTATGACTTTTCCGTCCCGACGAACGGATAGAAATCAGCAGATTGTCTTCTAGTGATCTACGTAACTTCGAGAGCTCTATCTTCGAGATTTATCTGGTAATGTTCTAATCCTAGTTCAAGTGCGATTTCAAAATTGAATAGAAAGTACTTTGGTGTTTTGGAGGTTTTCTAGAAACTTTTGGAAGCAGATATTATTTACTTATTTTGAGTAGAGAATCAGGTTGGACAGGTAAAATAGAGTGTATTTTGATACTCTGAATAAATTTGGACCGATTCTTTTTAGTAACGTATAAATTTTTTAGTTTTTAATGGGAATAGTTCATGAATCATTTCATCTACTATTGGTTTTACTTTTCTTCTAAAATCAAACATTACTAGTCCTGAGAACGTTACTCAAATACATTGTATTTAGAAACGAATAGTGGTAGAGATTGATGATCATTTAAATCAAATCTCGTCCGTTAAAAAAATCAGTTTGTCAAGTCATACAAATTTTCAAAAATTCGGTAAAAGAAAAAGCTTCACAAACCAATTTGTTTTGAGACTGCGGTTTTTCCGTTCCGTTATTCATTTTGCCTGTCCTCAATATGTATGTAATAAAAAGGCAGAAAAGAAAAAGAAAAGAAAGCTCAATCATTATCGATATATTTCTGAACAAAATAGTTATCCTTGTGACTATAATTACCCAAACACTTTTTCTTTTAAGCATTTTAATTTGTTTGATCATATAATTATGTTCTGATTCTTTTTTGTTTCCTTTTTCATGGCTGTTTGAAACAATAGGTGTCACGGTTGAGGTCACACTGGTATTACTACTTTTTTCTATAACACATATTCGTTCAATTCCTCTGTGATTATTCATTATTAGTATTGACCATTTTGAATTTACTACAGCCAGACACTAACAAGTCGTTCATTCAGTGAGTATTAAAAACGATTTTTTGATAGAACATATACGAGGAAGTAAAATGTTCAGTGATCATACCAATATAGATAATAATTACAACAGTAGAGTACAATCTCAACATTATTCATCTTTTACTCCACCTGAATTTATCCCACTATATACTGATCTACAATTTAACAATAAACCTTCTGAAATGTTTTATGGACGAAAGACAGATTCACAAAGGAAAAATGATATTTCAATCGTTATGGAAGTTGAACATTCACCTATATATCCATTTGATAATTATTCTCAAGAAAATCATTCTTTTTCGAATAAGTCGTTTGTTAACGAGAGATTCAATAATCATTACACTAATTCATTATCAAAATCAAATCCAAAATGTGAAACAACAATTCAAACAGGTCTAAACGAAACTACACCTAACGTCCACTTACTTCAATCATTAATGGCCTATGCCAATAGTTTTCAACTAGATTCATCTGTCGGTCTTTCATTACATGATAATGAATATACGAACAGAAAATCGTGTACTAGACGTCGTGCCCAATCTCATTCATTTGAAAATACACTATCATTTCGTAATAAAAGTTTTGATGATTTATCAAATAACAACAATAAAAGAAGACCCGTTGCATCCTTGAAAAAACGATGTTTATCAACGGAAGAAAAACTTGATAATGTTACACATAGGCAACATGTTTCTTCAACCACTGATCCACAATTTTGTTTTTCTACAATAAAAATGACCCCATCATTAACTCAACTACCTTTTGATGATCATAAAAATATGACTGGTGGTACTAGTGTTGAATGGGGTTATTTGACAGATGCAGATTTATATGTTGAATCATATGATTTTAAAACACCGGCTAATGAATATTTTAACATACCAACAACGTCTCATATTGATCAATCAAATAAAGCTTATTTTCAGCATTTGAATGCGCTTTCAAATATGACAAATACCATTCCTATGATGCCCGATAATGAATCGGTTACCACAATTGACAATGACTTAACATGTACTAATTTACCATCACCAATACGGCACAAACAGCAACAAGTACCATCATCATCATGGATAACTAATATTCAACAAGAACATACTAACAATTCGTTGGAGAGTGATACATCATCACCCATCATAATTCATAGAAATACCAAAGATTATGTTATAAAACAAGACGTGGCTATACGTTTTCTTCGTCCGCCAACACCACCATTATCTGGTCCCATTATTATTCGTGAAATTAGAGAGAAATCCACACGTATCCCATCACCCATTATTATTCAAGAAGGATCTGTAAATTCCAAAACACCATCGCCAATCATTTTTCGTGAAAGACCACCGGAGCCACCCGAAGTCAAAAGAACACATATAATTTACAAACACATACCAGCAAAAAGAAGCCAGCGTCCACCAAGTAAGTACATTGATACCTTTGAATTTTAAATTAATTTTATTCTCTTTTAGTTATTATTGAACGTTTACCCATTTTACCCATTAGAAAACCACCACCAATTGTTATCGAAAAATGGCTACCATATCCTGAACAAAAACGTAAAGTTATTTACGAAAAAGCATCACCAACATCTAAAAAACCTCGTTCAAAAAAATTTATTATTGAATATAAAAATATGAATGTTATTGTGGATAAAGTTGTTAGACATATTGATGGTATAAATAAAACTGATCCAACGACATATGTTAAACAGCATGCTGGCAAATTACATTCAAATGATAGTTTAGATGAATTACTGGAAAATGTTGTAGAAGTATCAAATTGTACAAAAATGGTAAGGAGAAATTTTAATAATCATAGTTAATATTGATCACACCCTCTCAAGGTTTTTGTTCTTAAATTTATTTGTTTTCGTTTACAGATTAATAGACACAATGATAAACCGAAAACTACTCAGAGGTTTTCTGATGAAAAAACGTTCTACAGCAATCAATTATTTTAACGGTGAATAAGAATACTTATAACTTACAAAGATGTATATAAACTACAAAGTCACAGCGAAATGAAAGGACTATTTTTGGTTTTCTGAAGTTTATTTAATAAAACTGGTGACATTCGTTTACAAAAATTACTATATGCTACTTTTAGCGGATTGTCAGACGTAGACGAGACCAACATCCTTCTATCATTCATTCATTCATTCATTCTATTCAACTTTCACATGGCACAGAGTGTTCATATGTAAAATTTCTGAACATGTAAAATTTTGTTGTTTTTCATTATTTGTCTATAATTATAAAGGTGCTCTAATTGACTTCCTGTACTTTAGGTTTGATACTATAATATCAATATCTATTGCTGAACGTTGAATATCTTATGGGTATTATGTTTTATATAGTCGAAAAATGACCCATTTTCAATCGATCATATTTGTTATTGATGTGTGTGACCCTACACCTGAATAGAGAAAACTGATAACAAAATCACTGTAATAATCATCGCAACATTCTGACAAAATGTAATAATAATTAAAAATACTTTCTTCGCCATAACCTTCCTAAGTATCCACTGTCTTTGAAACAAAAGTTAAAATAGCTATTCGATTTAGCCGTCGGTTTCTCTAAATCCTACTTTAAAAACTGATTTAAAACTCAAAAAGACTTCTTGCATTCGAAACACTGACCGAAACACTGACACCAATTCTTATTTCTGAGGTGAATAGAAACTATTAATAACAGTGTTAGTATACTACTCAATATCGTAGTAGTAATAATATTATTAAACCAATGTTTGTGTGTAATCTGAACAATTAGATCTTAAATTTATAATTATTACAATTATTATCGAAAAAGCAGAAAATAGCCCCTCCTGCAGCTTCTAGCCCTTCCTGCAAATTCTATTCTTTCATTTCTATTTCTATTCATTTTGAATTGGGTTTAAAATGAGTACCAGATAACTGACGAATTCCTATTATCTAACCGTGTTTCAACTGAAAATATTATCGCAAGGGTTTAATTTTTAACAAAAACAGCTAAAAATATTAAATAGTCAAATTGAATTATTTCCTCATGATTATATCCTCAATTATTGTTTATCCATCGACAGAAAGTTAAGAAATTTATGTATAAACATGTAATGAATGGCAAACAGGATGCAGAAGCAATTTATGAGAAAAAACTTTCAGATATACACGGTGCAACAGTTAATCATACGAAATCTAATGTACTGATCACAAGGAAATTAATTCACCATCTGTCCACCAGAACATTAGATGTTCATGAGACAAAATTATTAAGTCGAGGCTAGAGATTTTGTGGCTACGAAGCCAAAGCTTTGGTTTATAAGCCTAAAAGTGTCGCAGTGAGTATACAACATCTATCTTCAACTGTGGTGTAAACTTCCGACTCCTAGTTGATCATTGTCGTGAGCTAGTAATTAATTATTATTAATGGCATTTTCATTAATTAACTCATATCTCCGTCAAAAAGGCATATGGGCCCAAACCAACTTGGAGTTTTTCACTACTGACTATTCCCTACATGATGAAAATAGTCTGAGTCGAAAAGTTTTTAATCACCTCGAGAGGTTCCCTCGTGAGATACTTTTTTTGCAAATCACACTCAGTTTTAGCTGTCTCCTTTGATGTTGTCTGATCTTACAAAGCCAATTGGGACGAATTTGTATCTCAGTTAGGAAGCTACAGATTTTGTGTTGATAACAGGATAACAAAAAAATTAGAAATAAAAACAGACATTGAGCGTATAATGTATAGAATTAATGAATGTAATAAAGAAAAAAGAATTTAAACTAGGGATACATACATAATCAACCAAGAACAATAGCTGATCAATTAGCTTATAGAGTTGATCAACCGACGTTTGAGCGCCCGACATTTGAGCGCCCGACATTTGAGCAATAACGCCTGTTCAGCACCAAGTGCTCACCCTCACGTGTCGGCCTCACCCCCTGTGGGTCGCTCAAGTGTCGGTCGCTCAAATGTCGGGGTCGTTCAAATGTCGAGCGCTCAAACGTCGGTTGACGCTCGGGCGCCACAGGACAAAATTAATCATGAGACAACCGGACAGAATAAAAACATTAGAAACAAAATCAACGATGGGACAATGTGACAAAAAGAATGAAAATTCTCATGCACGAGCATTGCTTGTGTAAGAGGCATGGTCACACAAACCACTCACTATTTTCCATGAGAATTTTCATTTCAAAATGTCCCGTGTCCTATGCATTGAAATGAATAAGGATTAGCTGAACTAATGGTAAATGCTATTCGATATGAACTTATTTCAATCTGTGTATCTGATAGAGTTTAACGCTTTATCAGTAGCACAATAAAGTGTAAAATAACACGGAATAACATATAAAATTAAAAAACATATCATTATAATGATACAATTTGAGACAAATTTATATATAAATTTGTCTAGTCCAAACTGGAATTCCAATCTGGTCTTAATTCTAATATTGGCTGCGACGTATACATGGAAATTACATTTGATAATGTCTCTTGAGCTTTATTAATCTTATTAATTTATCAATTTATCATCGAACGCAAGTGCAAACTGAAGTTCTGTTTTATGTTAAAGAGTAACTACAATAAAGTTTGCGTGAAAGGTAGATCTTAAGTTATAACTTATAAAACTGTAAAGAGCTGCTGGATTTTTAACGTATATTGTTGTTGTTTCCTGTCCATGTCGTTAAATTGGAAAGAAATAGCTGATTAAGCGTAATTATCAGCCCATTTATCTTACACTTAATCACGATTTTTAAGCAGAAGTTTATCCTGATTAAGCGAGATTTTAGAAAAATTGACAATTATCTGCAATCTCGGAAAAAGTCATCTATAATATATTGTTCATTTTCTAAAACTGCGCAATCTCAGCGTAAGGATAAATGGGCTGAATAATTCAGAAGGTAAACTAGTTTAGTGACAGATTTCATATCAACATATCTATGAGCAGTTATTATTAAAACTAGAAATAGTCTGATAGGTACTTCTATTTAAAAGGCATTTTTTGTTAGTCGACTTTTAGGCTGACGGTAACGGTGAAGCTAATATCATCCTCTATTTGTGTTTAACGCTCATATTTCGTAGTGATTATATCTCAATGTTGTTCTAGAAATGATTCAAAACTTGCGAAGAAACGAGCTCAACAGTTAACGTCACCTAGCTGACACATAACTGGCTGGCAATGAACAAATCCACACAATGAATGAGTCACTTAATGTCGACGGATTTACACTAGTTTCTCTCTGTTTTTATGTTATTACTTTAATTTAGTATAATAAATGCAAAAATAAAAATTTTATTTTTCTTACCACTGTGAGAAGAACAAATGAAAAACTCTTAACAAAGAACGAAATATTCGAGTTTATTTCATTTTACTGGTTCACCAAACAAACAAAATGTTTTCAAAGATATTTTTAAATGCTTGCTATCGTAATTTGAACAGAGTAAAAACACTTCATTTATCAAACCGTGAAGTGATAATTGCTTTGAAACGTCCGACGTTATTTATTAATCGCCGATATTTACATAATAATCCATTACTAAAGCAACAACGTCCATCACTACGTCGATATAAACGTTATACTTTATTAACTGTGATCGGTGTAGGTGTTCCACTGGTCTATTTGATTTATACTCGAAAGTGGTTTTCATTTTTCAACCGTAAAGTCTTTGATAATGAAAATGAGAATAATAGTATAGAATCTGTTTCACAAGATGAATTAGACAGTCTGGGAAATCAAACAGAACAGATATTAAATAATGAATTATACTCGACGGACTCATTCACATTTCTTGTGTCAATTCGATTATTTTTTCGTACAATCAAATTAGTCATGATATTTACACCAGTTTTGATATTTTACTATGTTCAACTCTATCTGTTTCCAAGTTTATATGATAAATGGTGTACAACATTAAAACATTCATTTGAATATTGTGGACCCTGTTTCATTAAACTAGGTACTACGCTCCTCCCTTGTGGATCTACTTACATACATGCACTTACCCAAGCATCCTCGTAAGTTTTGTCTATCGTTCGTGGCTTTTTTCTTAACTCTTTCCAGCCGGCTATTTTAAAAACACCAAAAAAGTGTTAGGCATGTGGTAACATTCGGCTGGAAAGGATTAAGTAAATCGAGTACTTAAATTGCTTTATCTTCGTGTCAAGCACTTGCCCGAGTAACCCACTAGTATCTGTAAGAGATTGGACAAGTAAATTAAGTATCTGGTGAGTTGAATATACTTCGCAACCGGTTGTCAAGCACTCAGAGAAATTTGAAAGTAAACAAGTACTCACTTGCAGGTACATCCACTAGGGCTTTTAATTAAATTAAAAACAATAAAGCAAGAAACGAAAGATGTCGGTGTCAGTCAAAAATGATATGTCATCCTCCTAGCTTTTGAACAGATCCTCGAGTCATTAATACATTTTTAGGGTTCATCCACGCTTAGTGTCTTTACTACCTACAATAGTTTTTCTCACTTTTCTGCTGTAATTTGCATTTTTTATTATTATATTTTAGGTCAATGGATGGCGACCAGACCAGATTTATTTTCTGCCAAGTTTTGTGAAATATTTAATCAGTTACATTCAAATGCCCCACAGCATTCCACAAAAGAAACATACAAATTACTGAAAGAAAACAACATTAATGTGAATGATAAAAATCAAACAAATTTTTTAAAATCACCATTGGCTAGTGGTGCTATTGCCCAAGTATACCGTTGTAATGTGAAAAATTTTGATTGTATTATGAAAGTCCGTCATCCAAATGTACAACGAGAAATCTATTATGATTTGAAAATTTTAAATTCATTAACATCTCTGCTAACTAAGGTTATATCGAAAAAAACATTTCAATGGTTGAATATCGAAGATAATATTCAATCGTTTACTAAAAATATGTTATTACAAACAAATTTGTTGATTGAAGCCAAAAATTTAGAGATATTTGAACGAAATTTTGAAAAATATGCTAGAAATATTCGATTTCCCCATTTGTACAAACAATTACCATTGACTAAAGATATTTTATTTCAAAGTTATGAAGATGGTCTATTATTGAATGATTTTGTAAAACAATGTCAAGATCAACGAATTAGAAAACGTTTAGCATATTTGGGCGTAAATGCTTTTTTGAAAATGTTATTTGTGGACAATTTTGTACGTATGAAAGAGAGCAATTAATAATTAATAACAAAACATGAGAAGTTATATTAGTAGCAAAATACAAAGTCGGAATCTCTCTGGATCCTACATAAAGTGTGATGAACGCAGCTTCTGATGTATTCAATGTGCCGTTTTTTCAAATTAGGTTTTTTTGTCTTTTTTAGGTTCATGCTGATCTTCATCCTGGTAATATTTTAGTTCGTCTAGAAGATGAAAAAGTACCACTGAATTCTACTCTTCCTCCATCGAGAAAGGAACCGGTTATTATTTTGTTAGATGTTGGTCTAATATCATCGTTAAAACGTAAGGATAAAAAAAATTTTTATGATTTATTTCGTTGTATAGTCAATTATGATGGTGAACAAGCGGCACAATTAATGATGGAACGTGCACCAAATGCTAGTATGATTGATGAACAATCTAAAATTGGTTTTCGTCGTGATATGTCAAAATTAATTGAACAAGTTTTAAATACACCGTTAAAACAGTTGGAAGTCGGTATTATATTAAAAACTGTATTAGATTTAGGAAAACAATATCAAGTTAAAATGGATTCAAATTTTACCACAATAGCATTGGGTACAATTATTATTGAAGGCATGGGCAGACAATTAGATCCAGATTTTGATTTTGTAGCAGCAGCTAGACCATATTTACAAAAAGATTTTACACTAGTTCAAGCGTACTTAAATGGCCTATTTAAGCGAAATGTGATCAATAAACAATGGTGGAAATTTTGGGACAACAAAAGAATAGCCGAAGGAGAGAAAATCTGAATGAATATATTTAGAAAAAATCCTTTAAAAGAATACTATTTATATCACATTCATTTTAAAAAGTACTATTACCGATCTGCCAACCTACTCTAGTTACTTAAAAAATAAAATCTAGAGTAAGCGTATATTTTGTTTCTAAGAGATCGTAAATTTTCAAAATTGAATTAGAGGTAGTACAAGTTATATTTTAATTCAACCAAGTATTATGAGTTGTTAGAAAATTGAACACATCAAGACTTAATTATTGATGGAAAAATTATAATTTATGATATTCTATTCATAAAGTCAATGGTAGTTCGTCATAACACTTTGTATATACTGAGACGCATAGACTTTTAAATAAGATCTTTTCCAAAATCTAAATAGATTTTTTAGTGGAAATTTCAAGAACAAGGTGAATTGAGGTTCCCTTGTGTCACTAGACCAACGAGTGTGTTTGTGTAGAAAATTCTGTTTTTTTTTGTAATCAACTTAGGCAATTCATTTCTGTTTTTTTGATTTTTGATTTATTAAAATTTACTAATATCGATTGCGTCATAATGAATGAACCTCTCAGTATTTTCTATTTTTCTCGTGTTTCTTTAGAACCCTAAGATGGTGTTTTTTTTAAAGGGTGCGCCGCAAAATACTCTACAAAAACCATACTTAAACTTTAATTTCAGAACTTCAATCAAGAAAACTACACAAATTATACGATAGACGAAAAAATGTAAACTTTGTAAACTCAAAAACGATTTTCGTGTGTTAACGTTTTGAAAGTAAGAAAACCTCAATCAGCCATCATGTAGCTCTGACTTCGCTTTATCTTTTTTATTTTCACACCAAAACCCATGGAGAAATCACAATTTTTTTGTCGGTTGTCACGCACGCATTTCTTCATTAACTTTTTAAATTTTGGGTATAGCGGTGCTTTGAGTAAAAGTCCCATAACTCCATCAAAAGAAAAGCTTTTTTTAGACACCAATCTTAGAGTCCTATAGAAACATGAGAAAAATAGAAAATACTGATAGGCACATTCATTATGACGTACTCGATATATGTCGTTAAACTGTTTAGTTTATTCTATAGTAGACGTTTTTCTTTTGCGTGACGCAAATATTTACTTTTTTGGCTTATTAATAGTCAATAAAATAAAGTAGATTTTCAATATTCTTTTTTAAATTAACAGCAGCCGTAGACTAAACTAAAATCTATTTTATTAAAAAAGATCTAACGTTTCGACTCTTCATAGAGTCATTTCAAAGAATATTACAGAACATTACTGTACTTTTTTGAAAATGACTCTATGAAGAGTCGAAACGTTAGATCTTTTTTAATAAAATAGATTTTAGTTTAGTCTATGGCTGCTGTTAATTTAAAAAAGGATATTCTAATCAAATTATTGGCTCTTAATCGTTTTAATGTAGATTTTCAATCTTCAACAGGTATGTTAAACAGGAAGAATTTATCAGTTAACAAGATGGTATAAATGAGAAACGAGTGAGCAGTATAATATTTTTCACGTATTCCAAGCTCAAAGTAAACAATGTTGAGATCTCCTTTTTAAATTGAAGATTACCATGTATATAATTGCTACGTGTGTGTCATTTTTCTATAAATTCTAGATTTTTGTTTGTTGAAAAAATGAAATTTCGTGCAAAATTACTTGATCAAGCATCAATTACACAATTCACACGTAAGCATCCTATCATCTATTAATTGTGAGACAAACAATTATATATTAATTATTGATGTTCTAGGAATATTAACTGGAATATCAAAAGTAGCCAAAGTGGGCGTTTTACGTTTAGTATCAGATAAAGTTGTTTTTGTTTTATGTGATAAAATGTTTGGTGGTGGTGTTAGTATGTACACTGAACTTGAACCTGTAAATATAAAATACATTATGTTTTTGTTCCTCTTTTTTTATATCTTGTTTATTTAAGAATCGTTTTTTTGATAGTTATACAATGGAAGGTTTATCAATCGAATCAAATGAAATATACATGGAAATTACATTTGATGATATTGTTCGAGCTTTTAAAACAGCTCAAAATGCAAAAGTAAGAAAAACAAATGTGACTATTTGTCTATGTCATAATAAAAAAAACATTCATTTTATGTCATTTTAGTCATTTAAAATACGTTTGATGAAAAAAAATGGTGCACCTTGTTTGACAATCGATGCTGAAGTAGTATGTATTTGTTGATTTGAAAATTATAAACAAACAGTATCTATTTTATAGATAATTTTTCTTAGACATCAATTTCTCTTACATCACGACAATTGACATGTGATATACCAATACATTTAATTGCACGAAAAAATTGGAATGATTTTCGAGAACCATCAATGCCAAATTATGAAGTACGTAGAATTCCTATTCATTTAAAATATTATACTTAGATTTTGATTACACATGAAAGAAGTTGCTATATAGAACGTGACAAAAACTTTTGAATTGCTCTAAATAATTCTTCAGTATAAATAATATCTCTGTATATAGTAGCATCTTCGAAATGGTTAACTCTATTAATCAATAAAATAATGTATTGTAAAAAATAAACTATATAGACAATATTTTTAACAAACTGACGTTACCTACATTTCTCTTTAGAATTGAAATTTGAGACTATGTCTGATAGATGATTATGAGAAAAATTTGACAAGTCCGACATGAAATAGATTCTTGAAGGAGCGCTTTCTATATAACAGCTGATCATACCCTTTAAAATAAATCGACTACTAGACTAAATTTCGGATAATTGTTTGAATACAGCAGTAGCATTACTAAGATTAGGTAGACAAATATCGAAAACAAAATGTCGATACAGCGATATTACCGCGAACGATTGTTTATTGGAAAAGACCAATAAATGAGGCCACTTTTCTATTTTGTAAATCATGTTTTCAAACTTAACTGAAGTTAAGTGGTGACTAGTCATTATCTGACACAGTCACAAATATCTAGTAGCGCATCATGAAAATATATTTTGTGTAAAACTACTTTTCGAACTCACTCTCACAATGCCCTTCCCCCTCCCCATCTCCCGCGACATGATATATAAAATACAAAACCAGGCTCATTTAGTCTTCTTTTCTAATAAACGAGTCTTCGCGATAATGTCGTTCGCGATATTGTCGGCACAAAATGAAAATTATACGAATGTGTTGGTACATGTATGACTCTAGCTCTTCGTTCTCACTCATATGCATTTTTATTTTATTTTTCATTGACATGTATTCGAATTTTACCTAATAAATCATAAATTTAATTTATTCATGCTCCCGTTTTATTTTTTCTTCATCAGCTTCGACATTTTTTTTCGGTCGACATTTGATTTTCAACATTTTTTTGTCGACATTTTACCGTCGACGTTTGACTACTTCCCCGAAAAAACAATCTACTCATGAATTCTGTTATGTTAGATCAGCACTATTTCATTTGATTTGATACGTTTTACTGTTAAGCAAAAATGGCAATTTTATAATTAAAAACGGTATATATATATACAATATATAGAAGAAAAAAAAAAGTGATATTCACGTCCTATAAAAATAGAAATAAAAAAATATAAAGTAAATTATTAGTAAGTTTTGTTTTAATCGACTGTTTGCTCTACTTGGCGTTGGAACTGTTGATACTTGTATAACATACCGTTCATTTGGTAAACATATTTGAAAACAGTTTAACTTTTTACATTCTTGACTATAATAGATATATTGTTCACGACAGGTATGTTTGGATTCAGAACTAATAGATGATTCATTTGATGATGATTTTTTCAAATTTAATGGTATTTTTAATCCAGTGACTATGGTGGTAGAATTTTTTCTTATAGCTGGCATTGGTGGTTGTTGTTCATAGTGATATCCACCGCGACATTGTGTACCCGTATAAATAATTGATTTTTGCTCATTTAATAAATAATTAAATGTACAATTACAGACTAATGGATTATTATCAACTTCAATTGTTGATCGAGAAAAATTGTTGAATACACACGGATTAAATGTTTGAAATTGATTTGATTTTAATTGTAAATATAATGATGATGATTGAGGATAACGACGGTTTAGATTAAAATTTTGATTTAAACCATAAAATGTACATAAGTCAAT